GCTGCGGGTTCCGGGTTGACTGTGCCTTAGCAGCTTCTAGAAAAAAAATTACCTCAGCTGACAAATAAAATGACAGGCTTTGCTTCTTCCAACTGCAAACTCGGTCTGGGAACTGAAAGCAAAGATGTGAGTTCTGATCACCTCAAGCATTGCCACCCAGCACGTCATCTCGACAAGCTTGCAGAGTGCATGGAACTGCACATGGGGAATGCAATACATGCCATGTACTGGGAGCGTGGGGTACATGCCACGATGCCATGAGTGCATAGGCTGCATGTCGTGGGTGTGCAGCATGCTTAGTGTGAGTGTGTAGGGTGCATGCTGTGCACATGCAGGGTGCACCCCACAGGCATCTGAGGTGAACTCTGTGGTGGGTATGCTGCCAGAGCCCAATTCACTGAGGTTATCTGCAACAATTCAGAAGTCACAGGCAAACACGATGCCTGAGACAAGGGTAAGACAGTGCATGCACTTTGACAGCTGGAGGAAACCCCCTCTGCTCTTTCTCTTAACAAATCAAACGTGATCCTGCAGTTGTATTAAAGGCAGGTGCCCAGCTGGACAGGCCAGGCTGACAGCTGGGGATTACCAGCTGGTCACCTCAGATGGTCACTAGCCCAAAACACAGCACTTTCCCATAACCTCCCCAATCCCCCACCCAGACAACCACCTATTCCCACAGGACAGCAGAGCACTGCATCCAGGGCAAACAGGCAATAAACAGCCACCTCAGCAGGAGCCAGGTAAAGGGGAAAAGCATGACTGTGGTGCAATGGCATGCAGACACTGCTGGGGAGCAAAGCCCAAGGGCCAGCTGGTCATCTGCTGCCCTGGAGACCTCCACTCCTGCATGACCTCAGGGCAGTGGTTGCTCAACTGCTGGTGCAGGGCCAGAGGCTGACGGGCAGGCCTGAGGTTGCCCCACTGAGGTCAGGGTGACTCAGCATGATTCAGGGGGAAAATGGTGAAGAGAAAAAAAGGTCTGAAGGAAGCAAGACTCAGCCCACATGTAACAACTGCAAGTGCCTGGGACCCCCATGCTGCAAGCTGTGATGGATGCTGGGCTGCACATCAGAACACATGAGGGAGGACATAGAAAAACCTGAAAATCAAGCTGTGGATGCTGCTTCAAGAGGAGGAAGATGGCTGCACATGCCCAGAGGTGCCATCCATGAGAAGGGTGGCACTGTCCTGCTCTCTGACCTCTGCCACCCTCCCTTGGAGATGGGGCACCCTGGGGATGCTGCACCCATCAGCCCCAGCATTTCTTGCTGCCCCAGCTGCTGCAGATGGCAGAGGAGCCTCCCCAAGGAGTCACTCAGAGCACAGCCTTGGCCCACTGCCACACCACAGAGGGCTGTTATCTCTGGGCATCTCATGGGGCACTGCAGAAAGCAGTGCTGGTGGTTTGGCTCTGAAATAAAGTGGTCTTCCCTGGGCAGCATCGCTCAAAGATGAGTCCCACGCTTCCAAGAGCATGCCAGGATTGAGCCAGGAAGGGTGCAAGTAGTGGGACCTTCAGCCAAAATGTCCTCACCTTACTGGGCATAGCTACCACTCTTCTCCTGACCTAAAGAATGGCTTCTGCTGGACACCTGAGGCACCTCCTGCTGGGCATTACATGGCTGCCACAGGCCAGCTTGAAGATACTTGTAATTGAAGTACCTTGCCACAGTCACAGATAAACTGAAAAACTCCTCTGGGACCACCTGGCAGAAGAAATTCATGTTGACATTAAGTCTCTCTCTGTCAAAGATGGCATTTTACCATATTTATTCTGATCTGAGAAGATGACCCTGCCCTTAGTACAACACTACAAGAGTATTGTTGTGTGGAAGGAAAACCACATGCTAATTCAGAGATGCCTTTCCTAGGAACCTCTTACAGGAAGTTTGACTATGCTTGGGTGGCTGGGTGGGTAGCTAGTCCTGCTTCCTGCCCAGGAGCACTCCTAGGAGCAAACTTGCCTTTGTGGACAGTGCTCAGTTAGGGGACTTCACCAAGGCCACTCTCCATCAAGAGCTTTGCCCAGATGCACTGCAGAAGCTGAACATCCCATGCTGTCACTTCTGCTCTAAGAGGCAAAGACAAGGCAAAAAGAAGGTGCTTGGGCTTGGTGGGAGAAGTTTCTGTCTCTCTCCTACCTGATAAACACCCAGACAATCCCTTGACTCATCAGCAGCTACTAGGTTAACCTTCAAAGACAGAAATGGAAAGAGAGGAAGAAAAATAACCTGTCCTTAAAGAGGTGGGAGGATGGAGAGATGCAAGCTTGAAGTCTGGAGAAAAGCTCTTGCTGTCAGGAGGAGGGGATGGCTTTTCACACCACAGAACTGGAAGCAAAGCCTTTGTCCAGTGGGAGAAAAGAGTCCATGGATGTGAAGCCTGAAGTTATCAGCTGTGCACACAAGGACTTCTAAGAGAGGATGCACTTGCACAGCTCTAAGATGCCCTGTTTTAGTCACATGAACAATCTTCCTTCCCCTCCTCAATCCCACATCCTCCCAGGCACACAGAAAATCCTCAGAGCTTCGATCTGCAACAAAACCTTGACACAAGCACCTCTGACCTACAGACACAAATCCATTTATTGCTGGGCTGGGAGGTTGGACAAAGAGGAGTGGTGTCTCAGAGCCGGGTGCCAGGGCCATTCTCTGATTCAGCAAAGCCCTTGATAAGAAATGTCATCCTCCATTCAGTAATTTTAGCCCGTGAGATAAGAATCTCTATCAGGCTCAAACATATGGCTGGCTGCAGTGCATGCAGCAAAATGAGACGGGTAATTTATTTGCTTGTGCTAAGAGCACTCCCAGACCCAGAAAAGCTGATGCAATGAAATAATAAGTGCCAAATTACACTCTATCTTCCTTTGGAGACCTGGAAGAGGCTCCTGTGAGATACAAGGGGTTGTATCTCTCTCCTTTAAGCATCAAGTCACCAAGAAGACAATAGTCCTACATGACTAATAAGACTGACTGCACGGGATTTTCTAAGGTTTGTTCTTCTCATTAAATCCTACTTGTTACAGAGGAATTCACACCCACAGATAGGACTGGTGCTCTCTATCAAGTGCCAGTAGATGCTTCCCAGGGGTTAAATGACAGAATTACACAGGACTGAGGGTGAATTCCAATCTCCTGGTCACTGCAGCAGGACCATCAGCCCACCAGGTGCTGTGATGTCCCCAGGCTGAATCCAACTTCACACCTCTGATTTAGGTGACCTTGGCTAATCCATATAAACACAATACTGGGCCAGTGATTGCATGGCTTGGGTTGCTCAGAGTAATGAGCTCCACAACCTGAGCACAACAGGAGCATCTGATCCATGGGGACAAATGGACATAAAGGACACTCCCAAGAAACACTTTAAGCACTGGGTTCCACAAGGATCTGCTGAAAAAAGCTCATTCCTAAAGCACTCTTTCTTATACTCTTTCCTCTCTTAGCTATCACCAAGGGAGATACCAAACTAGATGGTCTTGCTCTGTACAGCCACTGCTACTCCCTTTCATCTCTAACAATGTGGCTGCTGTTCAATGTGTATCACACATTTTGTCACTTCACCTTTAAATGGGGGAATTTCAACACAAGATTAACATCTAAACATCCACTCTGAAACAGAAACTTTGGCTTAACGAACAAATACTTAAATTTGGTTCTTCCAAGGAACTGGGCCAGACCCAGACTTTGAAAGAATCCTTCATTTCTCTGATTCAAATCTGCTTTAGAAATGTTGCAGCTACACATTTAGTCATAGATAGTCTCTTCATAGATGTGAAACCACTGCTACTTCCCAGCCAGTGGTACCTTCCCACCACCATATCTACCCATGTCACTAGCATTCTCACTGGAAAAATCAGCAGTTAAACTAACAGCTGAATGAGTCACAGAGGTTAAAAACTTCTAATACAAAGTGACTGTCCTTCCAGCTCAGTGCTGAGACACAAGGGTGAGGGACAGCCAGGAAATCTCTGGTCTGAAGAAAAGGGGGGGAATTTCACCTCAGTGGAGTCCAGTTCAGCAATTTTCATCACTGCCAAATTTATTAGGGCATATTGCCATGACAGTATAGGTCCCCATGCACACACTGGCATGGCCTTCATGGCAGCATCACACATACTCAGAGGGAGAGTCTGATGAACCCTTTCCACCCTCGCCACCATCCAGCCTTCAGAGTGCACGGAGCGCACAAAGTGCAGCAGAGGACAGCCAGATGTCCCCCGTGCCCATGGAGTTGTGTTGCTGGAACAGACCAAGCCTGACACCCCTCTGTCATCCTGGCCAGCCTTCTCCTCCAAGGAATGCTTCCAGCACTGCAGAGCCCAGGGTCCAGCATGGGAGGAGCCGTGCATGTTTATAAGGAATAACACTTGCAGCAGGAAAGAAGCTAAAAATTTAACCAAGCTTCAACTTTCTTTTCCACAACCAATGTTTCTCAGTTCTCCAAAGGTAGTAAACTGGAAACAGGTAATTTTGCTCTATTTTCTGCCTTTCTCCTCTTGTGGCTTTGGACAAAACAATGTGAAAGCCCATATATTTCAGCTCTCTCTGTACCTCATCTCTTTGGAAAACACATCACTGTCCTGCTCTGGAGCTACAAAGAGTGCAGTGCAAACAGTGTGAGGGACGTATCAAACTCACTGCCAACAACAGAGCAGCAAGATCCTCAGGCATAAAGTAAAGGCACAAGTCCAGAAACAACACATTTAGTATGTGTGTGTTTGTATTTTTGTGTGTGAGCAGAGATACCTGAAAACTTAAGTCTTAGATATGTGGACAACACAGGCAGTTGAGATTTAATGATGATTTTTATATGAAGCCTGCCCAAGGCATGGGTGATGCAGGACACAGGAAGTGGCCAGGTAACAGGACAGAGACTGGGGGCAGTAAGAGAAACTACTCAATGCATGGACTCATTACTCATCTCACTTCTTGTCTGATGCATATTTCAGTGAGGCATAAAGGAAAGATAATATTTCGCGCTCATTTTTTTCTTACCTTGTTACAAAGCTTCAGTCCCACTCTGGAGGTCAGGAAGCTGGCTTGTAGCATCACCTCTTCTCCTTCTGGTATCTTCTCCTGGGCACACTCTTCCCAGGTAAAATCTGTCTCTAAACCAAGATGTATATGCCAGGCTTTTGTCCTTTTGAGCACTTCTTCCAAGAGCAACACAGCATTGATTTTCATTACTTGTGTAAAGCAGCCAACTCCATTCTATCTCCTTGTGTGATGCTGGAAATATAAATTTAAGCTCCTCTGTCCCCAAAGTCTAGGGGGAGGGTTGCGTGGCAAGTTCAGAAAGTCTTCTGAAGTACTGTAATCCAAGCCAAATTGCAGCTCATCAAGTTTCATCATCCAAACAGTGGATACACCTATAAAGAAAACACAGTTTTAATATCTGGATCAGGACAGATTGAAAACCTTCAGGCTTTATACATGATTTCTATTAGTATCAAGAGAGTGATGTCTGGTTCACCCATCAAAGGACACCCTGACCTTGCAGTACTGATAAAAGAACATCTTGTTGCCTCAGGATTCTGCCAATGGAAGATACTACTCTAACAGAGATGAATAAGAGATACGAAAGAAAAATCCAGTTCTATCATCCTTGTGGGATTTAAAGATCTTGATTTTTTTTTCCTATCATTCTGAATAAGTGGAAAGAAATATAAAAAACTTTAAATTTTGAAAGTTGCTGAATTGAAACTCATTTTGACTTGAAGCACTTTGTTTCAACAGTTGGAAAATTTCCCTTTGGAGTCACAAACTTTTACATTTTGTATTATAACTCCCATTAGAAACAAAGACTCCTTTCAAATATAAACCATAATGCAGATGGAGTCAGAAAGTTTAGATGTACTGTCAGCAGCCAACCCTCTCCAAATTTTTACTACACTTTTCCCAAAAAGGGGGATTTACAGAAGCTGTCTCCTGAGGGTGCGTTCAACTGCAACACGGCACCAGATTAGTGACAAAGCAACAGTCAGCTCTCAAATGCCAACAAAGGAAACACTGAGCTACTTTAATCAAATTAAGTGGATTTTAATACACCAGATTAGTGACAAAGTAACAGTCAGCTCTCAAATGCCAACAAAGGAAACACAGCTGCTTTAATCAAATTAAGTGGATTTTAATATACAATGCAGCATATAGTTAGCTTTACATGTAAATTCTACCCTAGGACAATGTAAGTGTTCAACTGCAGACTGTCACAAACTAGCAAAATGACTACACTGTGTGTTGATTAATACTAATGCAGACATTGCTCTGTGGGTATAACACACCGCTCCACTGAGGAGGCAGGAACAACTCCAGAAATCAAATCTAGATTAAATTCTAAGTTTTAGCAAAAATAGCCATTTCTTTGTGTGCAGCATTTAAGCATTTATCTAAACTAAAGACTTTCATGATGTCCAGGAGCTCCTCCACTGGACACTGACCAGACACAAACAACCCAACATAATGGACCTGAGAGAGAAAGAAAGCAGCCTTCATCTTTGTCCAGGGGATATTTGAAAGAGATGGAAAATAAACAGAATGAAGATGTCTACAAGGTTTCTTTGGGTGGGAAGAGCTGCAGAAGAAGAGGCCAGCAGCCCTATCCCTGCAAATTAACTCCAACTCAGCAAGGAGAGAAGGATTACCAGGGTGACACAGAAACTCAGATTTATGAGGCAGTTGGGAATAAGTTGTAATTTAGCCTCATAAAAGAAGAGCTCTCATATCAATGGAAGCTTGGTCCTACCCAGATTTAATGTTCCTAGTTACAGAGACCAACGGTGAAGTGAGGGCCCTGCCCAAGGCAGAGGGGTTGGAATAGACAATCTCTACAGACTCTTCCAGCCCGGGGCTTTCTATGATATCTTTATATGAGAAGCAGGAAATCTGGTCAATGCTGCAGAAGAAACCTCTTCCTTGGGTTCACAGGATGTGGCATAGGAGGTACAAAGCCACTGAGCCTCAAACACACTTTTGTTAGGGAAGTCAAGCAGCGTGGTTCATAGCTGCTGTGGTGAAAGCAAATGGCTCTGGCACTGCCTGGGAGCGTGGGGGGTACAGCTAACAAGATGGCAACTGGAAACAAGATGGGCCCCAAGCCATGAGGGTGGTGATGCCACCCACAGCTCCACAAACATGTCTCTCTGACCATCTCTTGCTGCTTTCTGTGTTCACATGACAAACATTAACAAGCCACGCTGTCGTTCCTGCTTCAAAACCTGCAGTGCTGTTTCAGCATCTTTACTCTCTGAAGGACCACACGCACAAACCAAGGTGCTGCAGGTCCTCTGGGGCTGTACAATGTCCACCTCCATCCATGAATCACCAGCTGGGCCGCTCTCTGACACATAACCAAGAGCACTTGATGGCCCATCCTTGGCCAGCTCACTGTGCTGTGTCACTCATTAGAGAGAAAGAGGCAGAAATAGGATGAGATCTCTGCCTTTGGGCCATCCATCTCACAGGCACCTAACACACCAACACCTCCTCCTCACAGAAGGGCTTTGCCACACCCCAACCACACGTTTCCACCTTCTTCCCCCATTTTAACCTGCATAACCTCCAACATCACCCCGCCATCCCTGGAGGGAGCTGACACACTAGCCTTCATATGGGGAGATGAGATGCTTCTCTTTTTCAAAGACCTTGTGGCTGCCATCACCTTTCAAGACCAGGCATCCACGTCAGTAGTTTGCAGTGAGCACCACAAACTGGTCTGCTCTGAAGACATGCTCTCTATGACACAGAAAATGAGCAGTGTGGTGTGAGGAGCTGCAGTGCTCATCAGATCTGAGGCCGTATCGGAAGGGCTGTGACCCAGGGTGTGGAGTGGGCAGCCTAGAAAGACACTGCACAGCTCAGGGCTCTGGGAATTATGGAATGTTATCCTCAGGCTGCTGGCAATATTCCCTTGGGCAGGGCACAGTGCTGACACTGTGACATTAAAAGCACAGCTCCCAGTAGTACCCTGGCTGCCCAAAGCCCTGGCATGAGGCAGCTGAGCTGTCCCAAAGCTGACCCTCCCCGGAGGAACACCGTATGCTGACAATCCTGTTGCAGGGATTAGCAAGGCAGTGTTGAAGTGCTAAGATACAACCAGGGAGAGAAACAGCTTCCCACTAATAAGGGGACAGGCAGGCGTATCTTCTCACACAAGGAGAGCTTGCCCTGCTCTCAGCTGAAGTCAGTGTTCAGACAGACAAATGTCTTGCCCACATGGCTGAGTTGCAACAGCACAGGTACACAGTGACCTGTAACCAGGCAAACCTGGGGCACAGTACTTAAAATTACATGCAAGATTACTTCCAAACACCCTACATGAATGGTAAAAGCAAGAATAATTTGGGTTACAGTCTGAATTGCCTTCCTTTCCCACGCTTCCTCGGCAGCTGGTTGTCCTTGCTTCTGCTGCTAAACTTCCCCCTCCTCCATTTCTGCATTACTCATAAATTAACATCACACACAGCAGCAGGCAGTAAAACACACCAGCAGCACCGCTGAAGGCATTGACTTCAGCAGTGGCTTAAGCAGATGTGCTAAGGAAACATCTGGATGATATTACCAAAAAGCTTTCTAGGTTCCCCATCAGATCAACACCTCTGTTTCCTCTGAATCATTACACATAAGAAACAACATAGAACCAATAATAAAAACATCTCATTTCAAAATACAGTTAACTCTCTGTGTCTAGTATCTAGAAATTCACCAGCACTGACCCAAACTCCCAGTGGGAGCAGCCAGTCAATGACTCCCAGGCAAGAAGCTTGGTGCTACACTCCATAGCCAGCAATGACAGGTTTGACTGGCACAGTGCTTGCAGGTTAACCATCTCCACGGTTAATCTTCATGATTTAAAATTCATGAAGATTTGAAGAGGTCAAAAAAGCCTGCAGGACTTTGGAGCCAGTGGTATGCACCTGTCCTGTCCCATCATCCCATGGAGATCTCAGTGTTATTTCCCTCTTGTGAACTACTTTCCCTCCCCCAGCTATGTAAAACACATTCCTAGCAGCTCCCAGATTTGTAAAGATTTTTGACGTCTGGCTGGTAGAGAGAGAAAGGCTGGACTAAAATTTCTTTCAGAATACAACCAAGAAAAAAAAAACATCAAAAAGATTAAAGAGACACTTGGCATATTAAAGGAATGGGTGCGTGGAAACTTTTTAAGCATACAAGACCTACAGGACTGGCTAAGAGGCATAATTAGCCCAACGTGAGCTCGCAAGGCAGGTCCATGGTGCCTGGCTCCACAGACAGGGGATGTCACGTACCAGCAGAGGCCCTGTTATCTTCGGGCCCTGGGCTGGCACAGCTGATGGGAGTGTGAGGTTTCATACCTGTACCCACACTTCAAGAATACTGCTGGAAAAACTGGAGAGAGTTCAGAGGACAACCACAAGAACAAACCTGGGCTTGTAGCAAGGAGCTCAAGGAAGTCAATCAAAGAGAAAGTTAAAAGGCACCTCGCAGCCTGTAGGTACCTGTCAGAAGAGTGCTCTCAGCCTGCCAGACAAAGGCATAACAAGACCAAAGGTTGAAAGTTGAAGCTCAACAGAAAACAAACCAGAAACAACTACACCATTTTTCAACACTTCAGGTAATTAACAGAGAGAAAAGTCCTCCAGTTGGCATGGACAGGGATCCAGCACTGGCAATTTTCAAAATAAGATGGGATGCTTCCACCTTGCTTCTCTTGCTCCCCCAAAAATGTGTCCTTGGTTGCATTCACAACTGCTGACTGCAGAGTGGAAATTAATTCAAGGACTCTCTGCTATACAGCAGGTCAGACTAAACAAGCACCATGTCCTAAAGCCTAGAAATCCATGAGGTACTAATAACAAGAGGTTCAGCTTCTGGTGGTATGAAGAACAAGATGCCTCATTATCAGTGGTCGGACTTGTACAGTCCCTGCCCCATCCAAAGGTCCTCTGCATCCCATGACTACCAGGATGGGGATTCTGAAGAGCAGCAAAAGAGCCAGAGTCATACCAAAAGCAGCAAAATAAAATGTTGTTAAACCAAGAAACTCACTCTGATGTTTTTCTCCCAGTTAAAAAAAAAACCAGAAAAAATCATATCCAGATAAAATTTTCAAAAAATACACTCACTGGCCAAAAACAAAGCATAATGTAAGAAATAAGCATTTTACAGTGAGAACAACCACTCATTGGAATAACCTCCCCAGGGAGGTAGTGGAATTTCCATCACTGGAGGTCTTCAAGATACAACTGGACAAGGTTGCTGCAATCACCTTGGCTCCCTTTCCCACAAAAGACTGAACCAGACAATCCCTTCCAGTCTGGGCTGGTCTGTGGCTCTACGAAAGGCACACAAAACTTTCCTGACTACAAGCACTTGAGCCAAAGGAATGAAG